CTAACTTTCAGGATCCTAATCCAGGCCCTTCAACTAGCCGGCCTAGAGATCCAGCTGATCGAGAATAAAGCACCATATTTTAAGCAAGAGCTAGGTAACGCCTATCTACTAAAAGCGTACCATAAGACATTTTTTCATATAAATCTCACTCTCATTAATGAAAATATCAAGCAAATAACGTCAAATGTCTATTTTGCAAAGCAAAGAATAGATGATACGTTGATAACACAACTTGAACATGAATACAATTTGCTTTTAGACAAACATGAAATGTTAAAATTTAAACGAGTTAAGCGTGGATTATTTAATGGTCTTGGTTCCGTCATAAAATATATTTCAGGCAATTTAGATCAATCTGATCTAGACGAAATAATGGAAAATATGAAAATTCTGAAGGAAAATCAAGATAATTTATCATTACAAAGTTCCCGAACCGTCTCTGTAGCAAAACAATTACAAGACAGGTTTGAAAATAACACTTTAATTATAAAGAAAAATTTGAGAGATAATTTGGATAACCTCAACAAATTGCATAGCGAATACGCTAATTCTCAGTATGTCTTGAATGAGATAATAATTATTCAAAGATTTTCTAATTATTTATCACACTTACTGTTAACCATTAACCTGAGCACAAATCAGGGCATAAATCTCTTACAGCTGAGTAAGACTGAAATTAATTATATCCATTCGTTATTAAGTGATCTATTTGACAAAAATGAACTTCTCCCACTTGATAAACTGCACAATTTTGAATTTTTCGAATTATGTGAATTAAGTATTATAGTCCTCGAAGAAGAAATCATATTTGTTCTTCACATACCAACAGTTACTGGTAACTTTATATATTCCAATATATACCCCATTATACACCAAAATAATATTCTGGTATTGAAACATAAAAATATTATCGAAAATGAAACTATACATTTTTGTGATGAATGCAAATTATTGAGTAATAAATATTTTTACTGTACTATACTAATCCATTCCAGTTGTAACTTACTTAAAGTTGAAAATTGTACATTCTTGGCAAAAGGTTCATTTTCAGAAGTAATTCAATTAAAACATGATAACTATTTAGTGAATACTAACAAGAATATTCCAGTATATGAAGATTGTACCAAAGAAAGAAAAGAAATTGATTCCTCTTTTATTATCAGCTTAAACTGTAAAACATTTATTGATCATACTGAGTATTTGAAGATTTCTGATATTTCGAAACCTTTATACATACCTAACATTATGGTGAACTATGATAAGAATATGTTATTTGAAAATACTGATGTAAAGGGTTATTCGGATATACAATTGAATAATGTTTTATTACACGATAAATTAAAAAATTTAGATTTTTCACACAAAACGTCCACGTTTAGCATTGTAACTATTTTATGTATTTTAACATTTGTTGTAATTATACTTTGTTTAAAAAAACAATTGCTCTCTCTTTTGAAGCAAAAAGAACCAAAAAATCAATCAGTCAAAAATGACATTGAACTTAACCAGATTTTTCCTTTGAACCAGGAGGTTCAATCTTCTTGAAGAGGGAGGAATTACGGCACTGCTATGATGATGATCTAATATGTAGAGTTGCTTAGGTTTGCACTTTTCAATTCCTTTGTTCTAGCGTAGGTTATAAGTAAGAGATGCATGTAAACCAAGGTGACCAGTACTCATTCGTCTTCTGTTAAATAAAGTCGCTTTTTTAAAAAGTCGTTCGTTGTTTGCACATTCTTAATTTACGCAAGAAGATGAAGCTTGAAAACGAAATAATTAAAAAAAAATATTTTAAAGAAACATAACGAAGATGATGAACTAAAAGTTAAAAAAATAATAATTATGTAGGTACCATACACCATTCATCGCACCACTCTCACCATTTCTTCTTTGAAATCGTATAGCAACTGTTTTCATTATAAACCCGCCTATGTAGTATTATTCCTTGCACGCGGAATCAAGTTAGCTATAAAATAACTTTGAACTGATTAGCTGTTGATGTGTGGATTCATAAAATGTTAGTAATTATGGTTCAGTGCACGTTTTGCATTTGATTTTCTTTTTATGTTTGGAATTTGCGACATGACATAGTAATAGATTTTGCAAATGTGTTTTCTATATAGCCGAAACCATGAAAGAATCTCGGAATTCGGCTGCACATGTATTTTTTGGCAGTGTATTCCGTTAATAGTAGGTTTTTGGAAAGGACAAATTCGACCTCAGAGAAAGCGTTTTTGTAATACTGGATCTAATGAATATAAATGTCTCAAACTAGAGAAAAATACGATTTGTGTAAGTCTCATATTTAATCAATAAATACTTCATATACCACCTGGATTAGCTACAAAAATCTATTATTTTCATTTGGCCCTAAAATTTGCGTCCCAAACAAACATGGATCAAACCTAACACAATAGATTGATATGACAGCAATCACAATATTAAAAATACCAGTGTCATTACTTACGTGAGAGAAAATACCTCTTTTTAACACATTTATACTTCGAAGTTGAGTCATTTATTTTAACAGTGGGTAGATCTGATCAAAAGAAATGTTTTTTTTGTGGTTGAATTAAAGTAACAAAGTTATAGCCCTTTAGAAGTTTGAGTACCGCCCTGTCTCAATAATAATATTATGTGCTCGTGTTTGGCAACAACGGATATAATCCGCCTTATCGGTTCATCGCATCGGAAACAAAAAAGCCAAAGAATTTGAAACGCTTATCACGATGTTTTTACTACAATTTTATTCAGTTGTATTTATTTATTTTCTCTTCATTTGTATCAGGTCAGTCCAACTAGATCATTGATTATTGTCCTTGCTGTGCAAAATTATGCTTAGTAAATTCTTTGAATACATGAATAAAATTACAGAATTCTGATTATTTAACAAACTTCTAAGTAAATATTCAATTTACTTGACTATCGCGTTTATTGCACTTTCTGTGTGGAATAACTACGTCATCTTCAACCCTACCTTGCCACAGTGATGGTAGAGGGCGCCAGCGGTATTATTGTGATAATCCAGGGAAATTAGCTGTAAACACGTGTTGAGCATAAAAGTTTTGGTTGATCGATTATATTGCAAACGCTGCTCTTTGATTGGTTTGGCTCGCAAATTTTGTGTCCGGTGATATATGAAGTACTTTTTGCTTGAATATGAGAATTAGAAGCCCATCTTACACAAATCATATAATGTTACTCTAGTTCGAGAGACATTTTACAAGAAATCGGCTATATTTATTAGATCTACTACTTTAAAAAGGCATTCTCGTAGGCGCAAGTTCTGCGCCCTGGATTGTGAAAAGGTGAACTTTAGTAGCCAGCGTGAACTGATGTTCAGAAGGGACTTTATGTTAGCAACATTATTATACTAGTTTCGAGCATTAATTTGTTTGGTACTTGTAGAGCTTATTCAACTTTAAAACGCTATTACCTAGTTGAATAGTTTCGTAACTACACGCGGCGTCTGACAATGTTAATATACTTAGCAAACGTTACTTGCTACAAAGATGCAAACTGTGTAAAGTAGTTCAAATCAGTTTTAATTTAAAGTTTCCAAGAATAGAAGGTTCTCTGGGATACTTAATTTAATTTTGTGTTACTTTGCGGCCGATTCAGAATATTAGGGTTATTGAGAAAAACTTTGAAATGGACTTAATTTTGAATTGCATTCCACATTATTATACAGGCTGTTCTGGAAATTGGGACTTTGAATCAGCAGTGAAAAAGTAAAACAACAATTTGAAGAAAATGCATTTTCAGTACGCCCTGTCACAGTGTTGACGCCATTCGATTGCAAAAACCTTTCAAGTTTGTACGAGATAAATAAACAGATATAGCACGGGATGTAAACGCTTAGGAAAATGATCTAAATGCACTAAAAACATTGAAGACAATAATCATCGTCAACAAATTCATTATTGCTATAAGAGCGCACGTCGATTTTTTTAATCCGATTTGTAAATACACAGATATATTTACCTGTACATATGAAAATGTGTATAACTTGTGAAGTACTGCTCGTATTTGGATGAAATTTTCACGCAAGGTCACTACTATGTCAAGGGCGAAAAATCTTTGTTGTTTTTAATAATCGGCGCAGTGGCTGCGGGGCTTTGGGAAAATACGTGAAAAAAATTAACATCGCTCAAACTCGGTTTTTTTTTGTCGTGCCAGAGGCTCCTGGTCATTTTCAGGAAAAAATTGTATGGGCTTGGAATTTGAAACTTAAAATGATAGAGAAATATGCCGCGCGGATGTGGGAAGGGACAACGTTGCCATATGGACAGTAACTACCGGTAGGGCAGGGGAAGAATGACTATGGACTAATTGCGTAGGCCGTTTAATTTCCCTATTTTACATTCTCGTAACTGAATTTTTCCTCAGAGGATTTAAATTACGCTGAACACTAAGGACTAACCTTTGTGAACTGATACACCTACTTGACGCCTTTTTTTTCAATAAAATATTTTGCTAGGAAGGCAGGGCCGGGTAATTTAATGAGGTTAATTGGTTTCGTGGAGTAATATTATATAGTGTATACGTACGTATCAAGAGATTTTATAATGTTATCAAACATTGCTGACCAACAGTTTTACACCAGAGCTCCAAAGAAATGAGGCTTTAATCTGAGGAACTGTCTTTTCATGAAAAGCCCAAATAGTATACGAACGGTTCTGACAAAACCTATGTTTTTCTGATACCATTGCAGTAACTGGAAAAAGTTGTTTTGAAGTCATGAGAAGTAGAGTCAGTCTACTTGACGCAATTTTTTCGACAGGGTATCCTTAAGTTTGTTGTAGACCTGGCAACCAACAGAACAAACTGATATTTACAAATTTGCTAAAAAAACTAGTGAGTTGTTAGTTTAACGTTAAGACGCATATCGGTTAGATATCTTGACATCAAGCTAACACTGTTTAGCATATACTTAAAATAAGTAAAGCTCCAACTTAAGGAATACTGTATTACTGTTTTTCGTTTCACAACTTGCGTAGGCGATTAAGCAATCACGGAACCATTAAGAATCGGATAATTGTCGGTTCTTGCATTTGTGAGACTTGGCAACAGTGGACTGAAGAGGTGGCTGCAAGAAACTGTGTTTGAACTATCTTCTTCTGCAGAACCAAGGTTAGTATATTTACATTATGAATTCGTTTAACAAGATCTTTAGTCACTCAAAATCTAAAAGTTGGTGGCTAGATAGTAGTCAGGATTTAGTTCATGTCTAAGTTGATAAACCAACGAATTCAGACTAGATAGATTGAGCAATCCTACGATTTGTTTCGTCTTCAAAATCTCCGTTTGTAGCCAAGATGAATGTGCATTGAACTGGACAGTTCTGTCATTAAATTATTATGTTTATTATTTTTTAAAACTGCGGGTGTTGCAGATAATTGTGGTGTTAGACGATTTCAGGGAATGCTATTACTTGCAGACTTTGCAAAGGACGGCACAAGCCTAATGAAGTTAGATCTTTCTACCGGTGCGTATTATTATTACTTATGTTGATAGACCGCTGCCACTTGGTAGACAATTGTAAAGGAATTAGTCGGAAGTATTCACTAAAACTGCGCAGTTTTACAAAAAGAAATCACGAAGGATCTTGAAAAAACGATCTGCATGCACTCGTAAAGCCTCAGTAGCATTCTCAGGACATTCACCGTAAATTAAAATAAAATGGACAACTCCGATATTGCTGTACCAGTGTGCCGTTTTTGTTTTGTTTTTTTAAACCCATGTGTAAAGGTTTTGCTTAGATGAGCATCACGTTTGATCTGATCAAGGTGCAGGACCGGATTAGGTTTAATTTATTTTGCGCAGCCTCAGTAATCTTAAGACTTTGGCGTATATGTTACTAGAAAAAACTGCTCATTTTTCCAAGATATATTTGCTGTGTAAAGAAAAGTTCCAACTTTGAGGACACCCGTTATAGGCTTGGCTTTTTCTAATCTGTCGAATTTGTTGTTTTAAGCAGACAAAGATGTTCTTGAGTTTCAAAGTTTAGTAGAAAAATACTGTCGTGGTTATCGAAACGACCGTAAAATTCTTACTTCAGGATCTGTGGAGACTACAGAGTTATCACATTTGATTGTTCAAAGTTCGTTATACATACAAGTTGATGCGATCGTATGGTTATGATGAAATGTCCTATAAATTTCAGACAGCCTCGAGTGATGGATGGTTCGAAACGTTTCACCGGTGGGAAAAACAACAATGCTTACAATGGAAGGCTCAAAGAAATTCTTTTGTCAAAACAGAAATCCGAAGAAAAAATCACTGAAGCTGATATTGCCAATATACCAATAATAAAGCAGGCAGATAACAGTAGATTACTACCTAAATATAGCTCAAGTAAATATAAACATTCTCACTTGAAAAGTTATGAGACCGATGTTCTTGTAGACTTCTGACAGCTTATCATATGTTTCTAGCCGGCAGGGTGATTACGTAAAAGAAACCTATATAATGCCAAAAAACCGATGAAATGTCAACTTGTGGACTAGGTAGCTGCTATCGTGTGAATAATTCATTCCTCGTTTGCTCGGTGTGAGCGTCACCTATGGAGGAATGACTCTACGACCATAGCCAGCATGCTTTGTTGGTTGCAGAATGCCGAGTCTGTAGAGTGTGGTTACAACTGCCACTGTCGTTTAGTAGAAATTCTGAAATTGATTTCCTTTTACCAAAGATGTGTAATCCTGTAAGAGGACAATGGCGTTTGATCGTGAAAATAAATCTAAGACTTTATTTTGAAACATATTCAAAGCCACATCGCACAGTTAGGAATGACGCATCCCCAAACATTTTCGTAGTGCCTCACGTCCAGGCGCTGATTTGTATTTTCTACTTATCGTAAAATGAATTTCTATAAAATTTAAATGACTAGAAATAAAAAAGAATGTAAAATGTAATAACCTTTTTCACGTTCCATAAACACCAACCACGGATTTTCTTTTTTATCTCTCTCTATGTCACTTTTCAAGATACGTAATACCGTCTCCTACTTCTGGATTACAATCACTTTAGGATTGTCCGGTTAGCAGACAGCGGACTGGCTGGCTGTCAAAGTTCGCTTATAACTCAACAACAAAAGAATAATGTGACCTTGGCTAATTCGGTATAAAATGAGTCTGTTTCGGTCTCTAACTTTTTCAAGGAGAGACGTCAGATGGTGGAAGCCGCAGTGACATTGGCTGAATAGTTTTAGGAAAAAGCGGAGAAGATGGCGTGTCTATGGAAGACTTGGACCAGTTACAAGCGGATTTAGAGAAATTATTAACTACAAATGCTGCTAGAATCAGACATTTGTTAGCGGAAATCGGGGAATTGGATAGAAATGAAGAAGGGCATGGCAGGAAAGCGTACGACAAGGTATATGTCGATAATACTATCGGAAGTTTGTAGTTGAGTATTTTCATTATGATTTCAGACATCTTTGAAAAGAAAACGTAATGACGATACATCCAGGAAATTCAAAGACACGAAAAACGGCATGAGGGTTATAAAAAAACAATATGGGTTGACGCATAAATTTGTTGGGGACACCCATTTACAAGAGGTCCCAAAAGTTACACTACCTAAAAACGACAACTCTGACAAATTTTGGGCTTCCATTGAACCTTATTGTGCTAACGTATCTAAAGATGATGTAGCAGTAAGTATATGACACTGTCTAGTAAAAAAATATTTGAGAAACGAAATATTTTATCTAGAATCTTCTCAAATGAATTACATCGGGACTCATAATTGGTTGTGAATTTTTTGTTTTATGTTGACTTTTGTATGGTACAATTCAATTCTGTTCGGCTAAAATATCTCTGATTGATAACATAACATAAGATCTAGAATACGAGGGGGTACCCAAAAAAAAACCGGAATTATTTTTTAAACGCTATTTATTTTCAACTTTTTTACAATGTAACCTTATCTCCTTCAAAATAGTATCCACAACAACTAATAGACTTGTCCAACCAGTGCTTCCACTTGACTGTTGCTTCGTTTCTGGGCCATAACCGTAGCACCAAGTCTCATCACCAGTAATGATCTTTGATAGAAAATTTTATCAGATTCAAGCTGTTGTTTCAAAGCACGACATGTTTCAACTCGGCGTTCTTTTTGATTGTCAGTCAGAGCCCGAGGAACAAACTTCAACATTTTTATCGATTTGTCATCAATCGACATGTCGCCATTTTCACTCGTACACCTGAGTTTTCCCATAGCATCATCTTTGTAAGCTATTTTCAACATTGAAACAGTTTCAGCAGCATGTTTACCATTAGAAAGCAAAAATTCACAGCTGCACGTTGCTCACTGAAGCTTGCCATCGTAAAAATCGAAACAAGCACGAAACAGCTTCAGCAAGAATGATGACTACACAGGAACGAAACAAGCCAGATCGACAATTCAGGTGGCACTGAACTGGTAATGAGTTGCGCTGTACGCCTCTAGGGGCAGAAATGTGTACTACACAAGCGCCGCCCACTCCAGGTCAACTCACTACTTACGGATATTTGATCGATTGTCAGTCGACGGCCTGTAAGCACATGCTTTTTTCAACATTTTTGTCGATTTGGGCAGTTGATGGACGTCCAGAGCGAGGTTTGTCATCAATCGACATGTCGCTATTTTTAAATCGAGAAAACCACTCGTACACCTGAGTTTTTCTCATAGCATCATCTTTGTAAGCTATTTTCAACATTGAAACAGTTTCAGCAGCATTTTTACCATTAGAAAGCAAAAATTCACAGCTGCACGTTGCTCACTGAAGCTTTTTAAATCGAGAAAACCATTCGTACACCTGAGTTTTTCCCATAGCATCATCTTTGTAAGCTATTTTCAACATTGAAACAGTTTCAGCAGCATGTTTACCATTAGAAAGCAAAAATTCACAGCTGCACGTTGCTCACTGAAGCTTGCCATCGTAAAAATCGAAACAAGCACGAAACAGCTTCAGCAAGAATGATGACTACACAGGAACGAAACAAGCCAGATCGACAATTCAGGTGGCACTGAACTGGTAATGAGTTGCGCTGTACGCCTCTAGGGGCAGAAATGTGTACTACACAAGCGCCGCCCACTCCAGGTCAACTCACTACTTACGGATATTTGATCGATTGTCAGTCGACGGCCTGTAAGCACATGCTTTTTTCAACATTTTTGTCGATTTGGGCAGTTGATGGACGTCCAGAGCGAGGTTTGTCATCAATCGACATGTCGCTATTTTTAAATCGAGAAAACCACTCGTACACCTGAGTTTTTCCCATAGCATCATCTTTGTAAGCTATTTTCAACATTGAAACAGTTTCAGCAGCATTTTTACCATTAGAAAGCAAAAATTCACAGCTGCACGTTGCTCACTGAAGCTTGCCTCGTAAAAAGCGAAACAAGCACGAAACAGCTTCAGCAAAAATAATGATCGACGATTCAGGTGGCACTGAATGAGTTGCGCTGTACGCCTTTAGGGTCAGAAATGTGTACTACACAAGCTCCGCCCACTGCAATGCTATTCCGGTTATTTTTGGGTACCTCCTCGTATGATAAGAATATGTAACCTGTTGGTATTTTTAGTTCCTTGAATCGCTAATACAAGAATGTGCGAAAGATATCAATATGAACATTCCTGAACTAGGGGAACATTATACTGAAGGGTGGTCTGATGAAATATTGAATGAAGAACAAAATTATGGAAAATCTCCGTCGAAAAAAATATCAGGATTTGATATGAAAAGAAATAAACTACATGCGTATGTATAAATGCAAGATTTGGCTAGAGAACTAGATAACGTGTACTAATAAAAACTTCGTTTAATCCTCGACAAAATTTATCCTTTTTTATTCTCAGGAAAACTACTTTTGAGGTTGATAATTTTTACTCTGAATTTTTGAACTGGCAGAAAAAACGAACAGTTGACATATTATATGCAAAATTAACCCGGTCTCTAGCCACATCTCTTATAATCCAAAATGTATCTGTGTTGAAATAAGTTTTTCAGGATTATGGATACTTTTGCTACTCCGTTAAACCAAAATATTACAGCAACTATCGAAGAAAACATAATGAGTGTGTTGCCCAAAACCAGCGGCCCTAATGGAATTATAAAGTTCAAAGGTGGATATTTATCAATATAATAGAAATCTCATTTTCTCTTTTCATAGAGTAGTACAAATATCAACGAGAGACTTTACAAATATCTCGGTATCTTTTCTTTTCGTATTTTGCATTTCATTTAGTCATTTATAGATATTTTAAGGAAATATTTTTTAGCCTGTGATGTACTGAAATCATCCAACAATAACCACAAATTAGGAGCCTGTCTAGATAAAAAACTTAAGAAAGAACAGGTTGAACAGGGAATTTTAACGTTGGACGACTTGGCTAAGGTATTAATATTTTAGTTTTGTATACCTCTTTCACTTTGATTTTCCAAAAACTTGAATGTTTTGGAGTATTTTCCAAAAGAACACCTAGATTTGTGAGGATGTTAGTTCCTTTTTTTGATTGAGGTTTCTAATAATTTATTTGAACCTTGCAGACACAACCTGACGATGAAATTTTGACGGAAATTAAAAAATGTCAACTAGAACTAAAAACAATGAATAAATACAACATTGAGGAGTTAAACAAGTTGAAAACTATTGTTACGGATGACTTGCGTTGTAGTGACGTGAAGGATCAACTTGAAAAAGTTGACAAGCAGGTTTGTTCATCTCACAGACATAAGCACCATAATATTTGCATTTAATAAAACTTTATGGGGTGTTTCCTAATTGAATGGCAATATTTAAGCAGCGTTTTTTGGATTTGAAAAGAAAACTTCATATGAACGTATCTCCTAAACGTCTAAACTTTTGATATACTGGTGGTAAAGTTTTCAAAAATTAATCATTTATTAATTGGGTGTCTGCGAAAGGTTGGGAAATCTTGATACTGCAGACCAAAATATGTGAATTGACTAGAAAACCTACCTATACGGAGTTTTATGCCAAAATCTGAAATACTTCTCAAGCAATAAGGAAAAGTGGAAAGTAAAATTGTAACTTTGACACCCTGTAGATATTATGTATCAAGAGACATTTTTAAATGTACCACATTTTTTTTCCGCCAGTGACGTTCGTACGGAATTTCACCTGAATATTTTGGCAAGCATTAATACACGCTACTGATTTCTCTTAAAATAAAAATTATTTTTGAAATCACGGATCATTTCTAAACAAATCCGAACCACGGTTTTCGCTTACAAAAATAAAAACCGTTTTTCTGTACGACCATAAAAATATCGTTAATATGAAAATACACAGAGAGAAAGCTTTTATTTTTTTAGATTTCAAATCTATTTATAAATTAATGCAGATTCCAGTTATTACTCCCACACCTACTGGCGAGGAAGTATAATCGCGAGAAAGTCCGAAAATGATATATTTTTTCGTCCTAAACTGGATCCAAAAATCGCCCTCTCATATATTGACGTTTAATTAGGAAACACCCTGTATGTTGATATGGTCAACTACCAAAATTGAAGAAGGAAGCGTGACCCATGCAAACGCGTTGGCACCGCGTTACCAGTGGCGTAGTTGAACCCATTTTAGCGTTTGTTTATGGCTCACGTTTGTATACTGCCATAGAAAAAAGTACATCCAGTAATAATAAACTTATTACGAAGACTTTCTAGGTATATGTTTGTTTAGATTAGGACAAAAAACGCTTTTCAACAATATCGATAAAGTGAAATTTGAAGGTCTGACCGTGTTCGAACTGTTCGTACTCCGGAAAATATCGAGAGAGTTCGTGAAAGTGTAGTGGAGCGCCTTGAAACGTCTACCAGACATCGTTCTCAAGAAACTATTTAAAAAAAAGACTTGCATTTACGGCCATACAAAATTCAGTTAACCCAAGAAGCCTAGTGACCATGAAAGTCCCCGACAATACAGTCATGTAATATTGCTGCTTATTACCCAAAATAACGATTTTAACCGACAACTGATAATGACGGATGAAGCGATTTGTTAATAATCAGAATTGTCTGTACATCCTCGTCGAGTCACAGTTTGGTGCGGTGTTTGGTATGCAGGTGTCATTGGACCTTACTTCTTTGAATACGCTGCAGGTAATACTGTCGCTGTCAAGCGCTACCAGGATATGGTGCAAAACTTTCTGGCTCCTCAAATCCAACAATTTAACCTGCAACACATGTGGTTCCAGCAGGACGGAGCAACTTGTCACATAGCAATGAATCTTTTGCGAACAATGTTTCCGGGACGTTTAATTTCTCGATTTGGTGATGTCAACTGGCCACCAAAGTCACCGGACTTAACTTTTTTTATGGGGATTGTGGGAAAGCTAGAGAATTTTCATCAGCTTAGCGAGTTTGGTGTGGGCTTGTTTGTGAGTCTGGTTCGTCTGAAATTTTGATCAATTACAGGGACACGTATACGAAAAAAAAATGTGATAAATTCTTTATTATTGGGTATCTTTTCTATGTCAGTGTAGTGCTTGGTGATTTTTTGAAAGTAGTTTTGAGATAAAATAATTTTTAGGTGTTGGATTTGTACAACAAAATCCTAGTTGCTAGAAAAGCGGCACAAACACAGGACGGCGATGAATTTGATCGCAATGTCTTTAACGAACAAATAACAAAAGAGTTTGAAGGTCAGGCGGATGCATTGCTGAAACAGCAAATTGCGTTGAATAACGAGAACAATGGAATGACCGAAATGCACATGCTTTATTGATGGTTGCATTCCTTGGAGTAGTGCTTTTGCTACTCCAAGTGTATTTTGCACTTTTGAACTTTCGTAGGCCAGGAAATAGTTTTTTTTCTAAAATTTCGTCAGTTAATATTTACGGTAATATCGTTAGATAGGGCTGGAACATTTGCCACCATTTTGAAAAACGCGCTTTGCGGATAGTCAAAAGGTTACGAGCAATTTGAGAGAACAGAAACACGTGATGATAGTCTCGCTAATAATGTCTGAACTTATGAAGACTACTATTCTTTTTTGAAGAGAATAAAGGTTTTTACAAAAAGGTCTTTTACGATGAAGACGTGTCAAAAATTCGCATCAATTTAAGTGCGCCGCATATTCCGCACTCTACGTACGATGTCCACGTGTCCAAGCGTAATGTTTTCGGACATTTTATGATGTATCCATGATGAAAATCCAAGTCACTCACTTCCATCAGTCTGTCTACTGGCCATTCTGTCACTACTATATCACCTCTTCTGTTAAAATCGATACAATGGTTACTGAAATTACGCGGTGACAAAATTTCGCTAAACGGACTGATGGAGTGAGTGAGTGGATCTTCGTAATGAGTATAATACAAATTATTAAACAGTTTCCATACTTCAAAGCTGTATTCTTGATCATAGGTTAATGATTATGAAGTTATTTCCCTCCTTATATTCCAAGAACCATCAAACTGTCAAAAAAAACGTAAAAGACCTTTTTTGGCAAATGCTCCAGCCCTATCATGACTATCAATTTGAACCTTAAGAAGCAAAAATGTAACGATACCATCAAAAAAATTTACTGTTGCTCGAGTTGTACGATTTCCTTATACAAAATCTCCCCATTTCCTGGTCTATTCTCGCGTATAGGACCATTGGTTTAGTGATGACTAAGCATCAAAAAATGTAACGTCAGGTACAGTCGGAAACAAAAAAGATTGCGCGAGGCTTTCTCTATGTTAGGGAAAATAAGTAAAAGTGGCAACTACGGAACGCGGCAATAAGTTCGAGTGCTGCACCCGAGTGGTGAGTTAAGCTCTTGCTTCAGTTTTTACTAAGAGAGGGAGACCGATGCGCAATTATTTTTGCTTTGGAAAGTTCCTTTGTATCAAAATACTCTATAAAATCTGATGAGTAACAAAACAGGAAGCATTTAAAATTGTTGTTCAGTCAAATGCGACATTTTGAGGAATTTGCAGTTTAGCTAGAATACTGTTAATGACATTACATTGAAAGATTCGCTTATCATTACAATTTTGGACTCATGTTTTTGTTTATATACGCGCAGAGTTGCAAATAATTATTAAATCATTAATTAATATTTTCGTCTCAAGCTTAAGCTTTCCTGTATTTAGATACGTTTAGAGTAGGTTAGAATCGGGTGTTTATATTATTTCATATTTATGTATTTAGCAAATAATGTTAAGGGAGTGCATATTATATATTGGTTTATAAGTCGTGCGTGTTCAGTTTTATGCATTTTTGTATAATGTATTGAAAACTGCAATAGTGATTAAGTGATATTTTTGTTTATATATAAATAATTATTAAGTCATTCATTAATATTTTATAGGCTTAGTTACTTTGCTTCTTGAAGACATCTTAAGCTTAAGTTTGTCCTGTATTTAGATATGCTTAGAGTAGGTTGGAATCGGGTGTTTATATTATTTTATATTTATATATTTAGCAAATAAAATTGATGGAGTGCATATTATAATATATAGTTTTGTTTCCATATTTGATAGTAACTTAAGGAAGATTCAATATACGGTGAAATTCATTTAAGTTTTTAGGCGCCACTATCGATCTGTACGAGAGATAAAAGCGTATAACATCAAGCGATACGTATGGTAGAAATGGAGAGAGAAGGCAGTAGAGGACACAATTCGCGATTCAGAAGTGTGTACGCTCAAAATAAAACCATTATTTGAACGTAGACAAAGAAATAAAGCTTACATACGTTTTGCATGCTGTTTGCACCCTTGTTTCTCTTTCTTGTACAAACTGATAGCGACGCCCAATAAGGTAAATGAATTTCACTGTACACGTTATACAGTGCTTGCATTTCAAAACACAACCATACATTTTTACACTTTCAAGACACAAATTTCCAAATTGTTCCACATTACGACATTAACTAACAATTATTTGAAAATTCTTGATTGAGGGTTGATCTCAATGTACTGTTTTGTTTGAAAGTCGAGTGTTGTATAACCTATCATACTGATTTGATTTTCAACATGACGTTCTGAAACGAACTTCAAAATCAAAAGAAAAATATACAAAACTATCATATTGTTCTTCGGCTAGACTTCATTACAATTATTATCACGACTATAAATCAAATCTATTGTATATCATCTAACAAATGATTCATATTTATAATATGATTTCAGTGTTTACCAGGCAATTGCCAGTAATTTTTTCAATATATCTGCATCATATTCATTCAACTACGTGTTTGCAGTATAAATGTGAGTCCATTAATTATATAACCTCAGAAACTAATGAAAACCCACTTGAAATATGTTGAGAATAAATTTACTGACGCTTCGGCTCTGATAAACTATAACCAATATTGATCTGTTGATCACTTTTTCAAGGTTAAAATTGAGTTTATACGTTCACAATTTAAACTTCAACCATAAAATTGTTATATGACTGATGGTGCGTAAAGCGTATGAGATTTTTTTCATATAGCTAAATATTAAATTTGACCTAAAATTAAACGCAATGCCGTGTATATTTTGTGCAGCTCTAAAAGCGTAATGTTTAAATTGTGATGTAATACGTTACCTGAGTAGGTATTGTTTTTCCTGCTATAAATATACTGACATCGCACATACTTGTGCTTTCTGTTACCTTGAAATTATTCAATTAAAGAAAATTTGCTAATGAGAAAATTGACGTTGTCCGGAAATATAAATTTTCATTAAATAGTTGTTTTCTCCATTGGGAGGTGGTTCAGTGTCATCACGTTTATGCTGCAAATATCTCTCAATTTTGTCATCACATTGCTGTACCGCAATATTGAATAAACCGTGTAGATGTGATTTGAAGTTTTATTTTGCATATTTTTCTCTCTTCTCTCGCACAAAAATCTTGACTCCGAATTTTGCATCTCAAATATTTTACATTATTGGAAGATTGGCAAATCTGTCTATCGGTGCACGATAATCCTTGACCTCGAGAAGGGGGAAGCTAGGATATTTGTTTAAGGCTAAGACCAAGGCCCAGGTAAGACCTAGCCTCGAGTACTGCTCACATGTTTGGGGTGCTGCCACCCCGACTATATTATTTATACTCGATGCTGTTCTTGGGACTCTTTCGTACTGATTGTGCTACCATCTACCTGAGAAAGCTCCGGATTCTTTGAGCTCCTCAGCAGTCGCGGTGCCCTGGCATTTGGGACACTGCCTACGCAGCTTCAGTATAAAAAAGTGGGCCGTATTTAAATTCTGCAAAAATAACGATACTTGAGTTTCATATCAGTTTTTTTAACATTTCTCTAGTTTTGAATTTGAAGAAAAATGAAATACAGGAAATAAAGTTTTTTATGTATGTAATAAACATTATATCGTGATCGACACATCTTTTAACTTTAATCAAACTCTGAATAACGTTAAAAATAAAATGAGAGACAAATTATTTTTTCACGTAACCGCAAATAATTTCAAAAATAATAAGTTTATTCACGTACTGTACAAACATAACTAAAACTAACATACTTAAACGTGAATAAACTGCAATTACCCAAAGAAGAATAAATTCTTGTGGGTATATGTATATACGCACACATGCATACGTGTGTATACAGAGTGTCCCAGAGTGAGACGAGAGGTAGATTGGTTTGAGATCAATCAGATAAAATCGACATGACCTAAAATTTTTATAGTATTCGAGACATTACCACTTTAAGTTTTTTCAAAAAATCCCTACTTTTTGTACTTTTTTGCCTGTCATAGCTATAAAGGACTTCTAACTTATGATTTTTTGTCCTGGGCTACCATTAATAGTAGAGTATTTATTTCATTGAAAGCTAGCACGGTATGCTAAAAAAAAAACAAATTATTGAATTTGGTTTCCATACGAAAACCTTTACTAAAGTTTTACTAATCACTGTGAAAAAAAAATGTACCAGACTGCATCAGCAAATGACCTTAAAATAAGCTATTTAATGCTGTTTCCAAAATAGTATAACATTTGTAGGTTCTTTTTACTAAAAACTGAATAAATCCAACTTTTGTCGTGGAATTCGTAATATTTGCGAAATACTACAAATAAAAAATGCAGCTGTTTTTTGCGTCCAAATTACAACTTTGTAGTTGCTGTAGATGCATCATAAGTTACCAGCTTGCTTGTACTTAATCAATTATTTGTGCTCACTGAGTTTATAAGCCTTGCCTCTGATTCCTGAGTCGTGAAAGGTTGAGTTGTTTTTCTGGAATCCAAATTGTATTTTATTAATTAGATTGTTTATCGGAAAAGTGGTGTTTTTATATTTTTTGCAAAAGATTTATAGATGGGTTTTACTACTCCTACTTTAAAATCATCTGAAAATTCTCCCGATTCAATCGAGTTCGCTATACAGGGTGACTTCGAAGTTGAGTCATTTATTTTAACAGTGAGTAGATCTGATCAAAAGAAATGTTTTTTTCCTTTACCATTTTTCTGGTAAAATTAAAGTAACAAAGTTATAGCCCTTTGGAAGTTTGAGTACCGCCCTGTCTCAATAATAATATCATGTGCTCGTGTTTGGCAACAACGGATATAATCCGCCTTATCGGTTCATCGCATCGGAAACAAAAAAGCGAAAGAATTTGGAACGATGTTTTTACAATTATTTTATTCAGTTCAGTTATACATACAGTCAGTGTCAGTCTGGTGTCAGTCGGTAACGCGTGTGAATAGTGTCTGTTGCGTGGCTCAAACGAAATAAAAAATGGCACATGTTTATGCGGATCGGTTTCCCAATTGAGTGCAACCAACCCCTCGTGCCTTTGTTAATGTAGTACAACGGGCTCGTGAATCAGGTGACTTAAGACCTCACAGGGGACCTCACGATCAAATACAGGTCCGCACTGAAATACTTGTCGGGAGGATACTTTATAAAACAAGGTAAACATTTTTTTTAATTCTTTTTTTATTTTTACACACATATTTTGGTTTATCTTCCTTCTACAATCATTATCTGAAAATTAATGACTCAACTTATATATATTTTCTAACATTTCTTTATCTTTATTAGAAAAAGAAAAGCTCATTGATTTATCCTCTGACCATTCTCTAAAAGCTTTTTAGGGACTCGAACCCGCACAGCGCACGGCGACTGATCACCCTGTATATACGCCAAGGGATATATTTTGTTTTTTCTATGTTACATGACATGCATGACGAAGCACCATGTCACTCATTTTCGTCTGACTGTCCGTTCGCAAATCCTTGGTTCCTCCATAACTTGCAAAGTACCGTTCAAATTTTGTTCAAGGCAAGGTTTCCACCTCCATGATAATAGTTGAGCGTTAGACCCTAGATCGCAATGCTGTCAAATCGGTGGCGACTATGAACTAATTTTAAAGGGTTGTCCAATAGGGACGCAGGAAAGTAAACGTCAATTTGACATAGACGCCATCTTTGTTTTCTGTCACCGACATGTCATTTTGTTAGTTGAATGTTTACCATTGATCGCTATGGAGTCGTATTCGATTGAAGACCGCATTAAAGTTATTCAAGAGCACTACAAAAATGGTGCAAAAGTAAAAAACACGTTTCGCGCGCTTCGTGAACATTTCGGTCGCAACAACCGCCCAAACGAAACAACCATCGGTCGTCTGGTGCGTAAATTCGAGGCAACAGGCTCTGGCCGGCCAAGGAGCGTTCGCACACCGGAAAATATTGCTGTTGTGAAGGAGAGTGTGAGAGACGATACGAAACAATCAACAACGCGTCGATCCCAAGAATTGGGCATTTCGAGAACCAGTTTGCTCCGCATTCTCCACAAGGATTTGAATGTACACGCCTACAAGATCCAATTGACGTAAGAGCTGCGTCGGGCCGAGCATTTTTCGCGCCGAACGTTCTCAGATTGGCTCCTTGAACACCGCCAAATTGATGCCAATTTTTCATCAAAAATCATGTTCAGCGACGAAGCGCATTTCACTTTGAATTGGACGGTAAACAAGCAAAACTGCCGCATCTGGGCGAACGAAAATCCCCTTGAGTATCAAGAGCAGCCGATGCATCCTCAAAAAGTGACTGTGTGGTGTGCATTGTGGTCAAAAGGCATCATCGGACCTTACTTTTTCGAAAATGCGGCCGAGGACGCCGTTACCGTCAATTCTGAGCGATATCACGTGATGATAGAGGACTATTTTTTGCCGCAACTTGAAGGAATGGATATGGACGATGTTTATTTCCAACAAGACGGTGCAACATGCCACACAACCAACGTCAATATCCATCGATTGCAGTCCTTCTTCGGTGATCGCGTGATTTCGCGCAGAGGAAATGTGCCATGGCCACCAAGATTGTGCGATTTGACTCCCTTGGACTTCTTTTTATGGGGATATTTGAAAAGCAAAGTCTACGTCAACAAACCAGCCACCCTCCAAGAACTCAAAAACAACATCATTGCCGAGATAAATGCCATAGAACCGACCATGTTGCAAAATGTCATTGAAAATTTCGACCATCGCGTGGACGTCCGTAAATACAGTCGTGGTGAACATTTGAGCGATATTACTTTTCATACATAAATGGTATAAATGAACCTTCAAAATAAAGTACCCAACTTGATTTGAATATCAATCTTTCCTGTTTTAATATGCGTTACAACCCCATATAAGCCTCTTTGACTTAGATAATTCCTTCGTTATACATGCTCGTAGTCAACTTTTTTTTAAGACACTAACTTGCCCCGAATATAATCGCTGATGAATTGATGGCAGCGTTGCGTTGTGAGAGTCGACCTACTCTTGACATCATTTTTTCAAACACGTAATCGAAGTTAACCGTCCATGTGAAGAGTGTTTAAAAATGCCTGGCTTTTCCTCATTTAACCAACATGTAGCGTAGTGGTATTCGACCTTGAGCTAATCATCTAGTCCAGGGTTTCTCAAGCGGTGGTTCGTGAACCCCTAGGGTTCGCGAGCTATATGAAGGGGGTTCGCGAAAAAATTATAGTAATGGCGGAATTTGTCCTCAATATTGCAACACCGCCGCTACAACAATCCGGCAAGAGTTCTACTTCGGCGAATCGACCGCACCGAGACCTTTCTGAGAATGCACGGGAAAGAACGAGAATAACCTCTGCAGATATAAAAAGGTCGCAGTCACGGAAGTACGAGTACAGTCGAACGCGCTTCGTGAGCCGTACGCATGTCGAACGTGAAAATAAATAAAGCAATTTTAATTTGATCAATGAATTTTGAAAAACATGAAATCAACAGGTCATTTTGCTTAGGTGTATGCACAGATGGTGCAGTCTCAATGACTGGAACATATTCTGGTCTTATGGCGCGAATAAAGGAGAATATAGAATGGAGTCACTATGAATACAGGCAAACATTGGCATGTAAGCGTATTCCTGCAGAGTTAGCCAGTACTTTAAGCGAAGCTGTAATAGTTGTGAGTCCCGTGCTACAAATTCTCGTCTATTCCGTGAACTTTGCGAGGACTTGGGAAGTCTCCACGTCTCTTTATTACGTCATACAAAAGTTAGGTTGCTTTCTCGTGGTGAAGTTTTGAACCCGCTTGTTTGAATTGAAGTCTGAAGTTCAGGCATTTTTTCTTGACCATCCATTTCATTTGTCCGCTTCTGTATCCGACATTCTGTGGCTCCTTAAACTTGCATACTAGGACGATATTTTATCTAAATTTAATGAACTAAATATGTCTTTACACGGTCCAGGAATCACCATATTCAATATTCATGATAGAATAGAAGCCAAGCTAAAGAAGGGCAACTTCTGGAATCAATATCTGCAGATGAATGAATACCATTGTTTTGATTCTCTCAGCAGCTTTTTAGCAGAGAATAAAATTCAACGTAACGAAAACA